TCCATTATTACGAGTACATATGTATTACCCTCTCTAGTAGCAGGAAAAGGACCCATGATATCTAGGGCTATGCGCTCGAATGGCGCGCCAGCTGGTGCTAACTGCAGAGGTGCTTTGTACTTTTGTTTGGGAGTTTTCCGCGCTTGACATGCAAGACAACTTCTGACCCACATTTCGACTGACTGGCGATAACCTACCCAATAGTAATTCTTCTGAACCTTTATTATGGTGCGTTTTTGACCAAGATGACCACCTGTACGGGTGTCATGACTTTGTTTCAAGACCTCTTTTTGCAGACTTGACGGAACAACCAACTGAACATTGACTGACCTGTCTTTGAACTGACCTCGACGATAGAGAAGACCATCTTTCAACAGAAGTTGGTCCCACTGGAACCACAAAGACTTTGTTTCTCGTGACAGACCTGTGACTTCTTTACCAGAGGGTCGTTGCCTGTTGTCATCGCTAAGCCAACGCATTACTGGTGCCAGGATGGGGTCCTCACACTGTGCTTTACGGACAGTCGTATGGTTCCAACCTGTAGTAAGAAAAACTCCACAACAAACACCGTGAGTAACATTGGAATTACAATCAGGTTCATCGCTCGGGCGTCTGGACAAAGCATCTGCATTACGATGCTTACGTCCTGGGCGATGTTGGATCTCAAAATCAAATGTACTAAGTATCTCCAACCATCGTGCCATCTGTCCTTCTATTTGCTTACTATTGAAAAGCCATTGCAATGAAGCATGGTCAGTGCGCACTGTGAATCTTCTACCATAAAGATAATGTCGAAAGTACTTGACATAGGTTACTACAGCTAGTAGTTCTTTTCTAGTAACACTGTATCGGCGTTCAGCTTTGGTCAACTTACGACTGGCATAGCTAACTACATGCTCACTCCCATCTACCTGCTGAGAGAGGACGGCCCCAAATACCACCATTACTGGCATCAGTGTCCAAAATAAATGGACGACTGCAATCTGGGTACTTAAGTATGGGAGCAGATATTAAAGCTGATCTTAACTGGTAAAATGCTTTCTCACACTTATCATTCCAAACGAACTCAGTGTTTTTCTCAGTTAAGCAATGAAGAGGTGCGGCTATCTGGGAAAGTTATCCACAAAACGTCTGTAATAAGAGCAAAGTCCTAAAAAGCCTCTGAGTTCTTTTACGTTAGATGGTATTGGCCAATCTCTTACTCTTTGGATTTTCTCAGGATTGGTAGAAATTCCATTTCTAGATACAACATAACCAAGGTACAACACTTCAGTTTGCATCAGTGTACATTTCTTTGGCTTTAGTTTTAAACCTGCCTGTTCTAATGTGTGCAGAACAGTGCTAAGCCTAGCGAGATGTTCATCAAAAGAGTTTGCAAATACAATTACATCATCAAGATATACTAGACATGTTTTCCAATGAAGACCTGTTAGAATGCGCTCCATCAAACGCTCAAAAGTGGCTGGAGCGTTGCATAAGCCAAATGGCATTACGTTAAACTCAAAGAGGCCTGTGCCAGCTGAAGAGGCCGTTTTTGGACGATCAATGGGATCTACCTCCACTTGCCAGTACCCACTAGCTAAATCTAGAGTACTAAACCACTGAGCACCATGGAGAGCATCTAAGCTGTCATCGATTCTTGGAAGAGGATATGCATCTTTCTTCGTAATGTTATTGAGTTTACGGTAATCAATACAGAATCTTAGACTACCATCCTTTTTACGTACTAGTACTACAGGGGATAGCCATGGGCTTTGTGATGGACTGATAACTCCTTTGTCTAACATATCATCTATCTGATCCTGAACCTCTGATCTTTGATGGTAAGGTACTCTCCTAATAGCTTGTCGGATAGGAGGGTGGCTGTCACAATAAATCTTATGTTGTTCCTGATTAGTACGACCAAGTTCGTTTTTTCTTGCAAACACAGATTTATGGCTACGCAGTAACTCACAAACTTTTTGTTCTTGATCTTTTTCAAGTTTGGCACATGAACGGTCTAGTAAATCTTCGAAGTCTTCATCTTTACAATCACTTAATACCTCATTGGTCTCGATGTAGTCTGACAATTGTGAAACATCGTGAGCAGGCTGAAGTAAAGCTAGATTGGTTTCTTTGTAGAGTACAATTGGTTCTGGCTGTACATTAAATACTCTCACTGGGACATACTTCTTGTCTGTATGAACCAAGGACCGGGCTACACAAATGCCTCTGTCTCTAGTCACATTACAGGTTGGTTCAACAATGCCCGATTTACTAAGTGCATTTCTTGTCCTTACTCTGCCGGGGATAATAACCTCTTGCCCGGGTTGTACAGTTACAGTGTGATCTACAACAATGCGACAACAATGAGAGGAATTAGCCTCTTTAACTGTATGTACTGTTACACCGTCTACTGTTAGGTAATTCTTACTCGCATGGATCATACATTCATGGAGGTCTAGGAAATCCATTCCAAGAATACCTGCTGGATTTATGTCGGCCACTACAATATCGTGCGTGGTTTCTAGCTTCCCTATTTGCAAGCTTACTGAAATCTGCCCATTTATTCTAATTGACGTTCCATCTGCAGTAACCATTGACAAATTGCATGGTTGAATTTGGTTTTTGACTTCATCTGGGAAAAGTTGTAAAACCCGTGGATGAATGACTGAATAAGACGAACCAGTGTCAATAAGCATTTTTACGGCAACTCCATACATAACAGTGAATACATATAGACTGGTATTGGGTTGAGTCTTTTGCATACTGGGTGGTTGAGCGTCGACTCCACGAACAACCTGATCTAGTTTAACGCTTGACTGTTAGTTGGTTCAGCAATGTTTCTATCTGTGGGCATGACATTCGATTCAGATTCCCTTTGTTGTGGAGGCAACTTACAAAACCTACGAATGTGACCTGGCTTTCCACAATTGAAACACCTCCTATCTTTACGTTTCAGAGTTTCTACCAAACCTTGAACAATTTTGATATTCTCTTCAAGTTTTTGCTCTAATCTACTGATCTTTTCCTCAACACTCACTGATGCTGGTGAATTTGGCTCTTGTAAGCTTGCAACGCGCTGCTGCTGCAGAGCAGATGTTGTCATGCCTGTCGCGCTAGCTTCAGCTTGTAAAATGTCTTCTTCGCGTTGTGCTGCATGAAGAGCGTCTTTAAGTGTGTGTGGGTTTACGCGCCGCACTTCTGCCCTAATGGTTGAGGGACGCAGTGCATCAATGAAGTAGCTAACTGCTAAATGATCAGTGCTCGTTGTCTCCATTTGCGGGTATGCATGAGAAATAAGACTGCGTATATCTTGAGCGAGCGCTGCTAGCTTTTCACCTTGTTTGCGTTCACGCTGCTTGAGTTGTGATCTATATGTATCTACGCTATGTGCTGGGCTAAAGCGAGAGCGCAGTTCACCAACAACAAAATCATAATCATGTTTATGTACATCTGGGATATTTCGATACAGTCAAAGTGCTTCACCTCTTAAACTGACAGCAAGTTGGGTAATTTTATCACCACCTTTCCAATCATTGACTTCACAACACAAATGAAAATGTACAATCCAATCTTTAAAATTTGTTGTCCCGTCAAAATTGCCAGGAAGACGCTGTTTGGATTTATCCACATACACTACACTAGCATTACGACTGTGATTTGTCTGTTCTGTTGGGGGGTCATTCGTTGAACAATTTTTTTCTCCAACATCACGGGAATTGGAACGGTGCTGTCCTCGAGCCACGCCCTGCCCTCGAGCCACGCCCTGCCCAACTTCACAATGAATGGTACTTATTTCGGCTTCTAATTGAGCGATTTCATCTTGAATGGATTTTACATGAGTTGGTGTGGATCGTTCTAAACGAGGACGATCCATATCTGAAAGGTTCACCCCAGAAGTCTGCCTGCTATCCATAATTTTAATATATGTGCTTAAAACATAAGTTTCAACTCGGATATGAGATCCGGGCCACCGCTGCCACCAAAATTTGTAACGGGCCGAGCAGGCCGGGGCGTGGCGGGGCTACTAATTAAAACAACAACCAAAGAAAACACACAGTGAGCAAGACAGAATTCGGGGGCGCCTCCCAGATTTTAGTTTGATAATATACGCAATAACTATTTACAAAGATAAACCAAGAGTAAATTAATAAAAGCAGATAAATATAATATCGGGTGAAACTTACAACTATAAGACCAGTGCAGTGGCGTGGCTGGAGGAGAGCGCACAGCAAACGGAACCTCAACGTAACAGTGTGATAACAAAAAGAAAAGAATGACCAACGCCCAATTGCGCGCACCGGTCTTATATACCCGTAAGGTGCACCCGACCAGAAAAGTACGAAAGCCCATTAGCGCCACTGCAAGTATATATAATGCGGATTATTTAATTCGTTATTACGGATTATTAATTCGTTATTACGGATTACTAATTCGTTATTACGGATTATTAATTCGTTATTACGGATTATTTAATTCGTTATTACGGATTACTAATTCGTTATAACGGATTACTTAATTCGTTATTACGGATTATTAATTCGTTATTACGGATTATTAATTCGTTATAACGGATTATTTAATTCGTTATTACGGATTATTAATTCGTTATTGCGGATTATTTAATTCGTTATTACGGATTACTAATTCGTTATAACGGATTACTTAATTCGTTATTACGGATTATTAATTCGTTATTACGGATTACTAATTCGTTATTACGGATTATTAATTCGTTATTACGGATTATTTAATTCGTTATTACGGATTACTAATTCGTTATAACTGATAACTTTATTCGTTATTACGGATTATTAATTCGTTATTACGGATTATTAATTCGTTATAACGGATTATTTAATTCGTTATTACGGATTATTAATTCGTTATTACGGATTATTTAATTCGTTATTACGGATTACTAATTCGTTATAACGGATTATTTAATTCGTTATTACGGATTATTTAATTCGTTATTACGGATTATTTAATTCGTTATTACGGATTACTCATACGTTCTGAGTCATTACTCGGCAAGTATGGCGCAGGAGTGCGAGCGTTTCATTCGATGCTACTTCCATCTTGGTTTAACTTACGAGGAAATTCTGAACATCCTCCTATTTAATCACAATATATTAATAAGTAAGCGAACACTGAGTCGAAAATTGAGAAACCTGGGTCTGTTTCGTCGAAAATATCACACAGACGTGATAGATATTGCCTGCTTTCTGCAACAAGAGCTGCAACAGTCTGGAAACCTACACGGCTACCGATGGATGCATCTAAAGTGCATCCAAAATGGCATCAACACAGATAAAGAAACGGTCCGCCTGTTGCTTGGAATTTTGGATCCAGATGGAGTCGAAATAAGGGCAAGAAAAAAGTTGCAAAGACGGCTGTATCAAGTTCGAGGACCAAATTATATGTGGCATGTTGACTCGTATGATAAACTGAAACCTTACGGGATCTGCATTAATGGATGTATTGATGGTTTCTCTAGGCGTGTTTTGTGGCTTGACGCATATACAACAAGTAGTGACCCTGCTGTCATTGCGGGATATTACATGAACACGGTTCGTTCTCAGATGGGATGCCCAAGAATCATTAGAGCTGATCATGGAACAGAAAACACACACATCCGACAGATGCAGCAGTTTCTTCGAAGGAGTCAGGATGACGCATTTGCTAAAGACAAGAGTTTCATGCAAGGAACCAGTCAAAATAATCAAAGAATTGAGTGTTGGTGGGGCATGCTTAGAAAACACTTCACTCAGTTTTGGATGGACCTCTTCGCCCAAATAAAAGAAGAAGGCCACTTCAGTGGGGATCATCTGGATAAGTCACTGCTGCAGTTTTGCTTTTTGAATATGATCCAGGTAAGCTGTTAATTAGCTGGTCTAATAAAGTATGATTCGTGCACATTAAAGGATATCCCGCTGTATGAAGTTGTTTCAATCAATCTTTAAGTCTAATTGTTTGTTATTTCAATTTCGCACATCACAGGGCGAACTAGACACTGTTGTAAAGGAATGGAACGCCCATCGCATCGCTCCCTCCAGAAACCGCCATGGCCCATTTGGTCGCCCTCTTGTAATGCATACCATGCCACAGCTTTATGGAGCAGAGAACTTCCTGGTAGAGGTGCAACAAGATGAAATTGATGTATGCAGCAGTGAGTGCATCTTTAAAGGCCGATACCCATGCGACAAAGATGTGTTCGACCTTTGTTCAATCATGATGGAAGAACGACTGATGTCTGTGCCAAGTACAGTGGAAGAAGGAATAAACTTGTACAATAGTCTCAGAAGGATGATTCTAGATGAGATAGACCTGTAGGCCACCTATGTGTCCCAAAACTGTGTCTTCCAGTAATTATATAACAATTAATCCCTGGTTGCCTTGAAATCTGTAACTTATGTTTTCCTGCAGCAAACATGATTTAATTAAGAGACATGTGATTTCAATTCTTCACTTTCGGTTTGTCCTCTTCTACAGCACAAACTTCGTGGGAAAGTAGGGTATAGGGTCCAACTTCAAGGGTGAACAGATAAATAAACTAAAAAAACCCAGAGAGATACCGAGATGTACTCAAGATAACGCTCTTTATTGTTAACATGCAACACTTTGAAACATTAGGAGGTATAACTGGAAAATTTAACACAATTCTCAGGATTTTGATCAACATACATGTAATTTGACATGCAGATAAAAAATAATTTTTAATCATAATACATGGGCCATTAAACTAAAAATGTGAGCAATCTTACTTTCAAAGTCCGTTTCATTTCGTACTAAATCAACAAGGGTCATTTTTAAAGTGTACCAGCTATGAGGTTGTCCAACAAATTGGCAGCTGTTATTAATAAGAACTATGATTTTAATCTTGTTGTATTTAAGTGTTTCATTTTTTATGCATAATATTTGTCAACAGTTATAATAATCCAATTCAAGCTCAATTTTATGAAAGTTTTTTTTTGGCAATTTTCCTTTTAATCCTTAAAAATTGAGTAAACATCTTGGAGATTATCTAATTATATTTCTGCATTTTGTTTATGATGGAGAAATAAACGAGATTTGAACACATCATTGTACATCATTTGCACATTACTGCACCAATTATGAATCATGATTTGTATACAAAAGTCTTGGAGAATTTAATTACACTGCCCTTTTGTGAATCTCCTATAAAAGATGGTTTAAACTTATGCAACCTGATTGTAATGAATGGTACTTCAAAAAGTTTGGCATTAAATTATACCACACCATTTACGTTACAAAGTCATAAATTGGGCTGAAAGGTCTCTTGTAAAACCAACATTGTCTATGTAAGATATGGAGCTTATTGTAATTTTAGATTGAAATGCAAACCTTTAATATTGCCTATTTTTTTACAAACAAGTTTGTTCGATGACAAAAACATAAATAGGCACACCCTTGGTTGAGCTAATGTGATGATTAAAAGTGTGATTTACAAAAAAACACAGATTTGGTCATCCAAACTTTGCTAATCATGCCGTAAAATTTTAAAATCAAATTAAGTGGAAATAAGTATGTTTGCTTTTATATATATATAAAAAACATGTAGTAACACTTTTTTTAATTAACACCACACAAATTTGGAAAAACAAAGATTATCAATAGCACATATAGGCTTACATACTTTCCTCTTTTCACATGGACCTAAATAGTTTGAATGCCAATAGTTATCTGGTTATCTGTTGATTAGCATACAATTAGAGTCATTAAGACATTTTCCAAAAACGAAAATCACTATTTGGGGCTAGAAAGAGGGTGGTCTCCCTTTCCTAATTGTATGTGATGCATGTAGTTAACAAAGCACCAGTAGGTAGATACAGGTTAATGGCAAAAAGAAAGTCTTTAAAAGAAGACATTTCCATTTGTGGGAATTTTGAGATCGTCCAATTGAAAGACATTTTTTAAATCACAGATTTGTAATGGTAAGAATTTCAGATTGTCAAGATGAAATTCAATCCATTTATCACTTATTTGTAATCATGCTCACACGTGTTCGGTTTTTCCCACCCATGCATTCAAAATAAGACTGCTCCTTAACTGAGCTGTTCATCTGAGATCATTGCTTTTGTGTGTGCAACAGAAACAAAGAAGGAAATATGAAACTTCCTATGGGTGCAAATTAAATCAGCCCTTTATACATTTTAGGTTATACATGTAACATGAACAATAAGCAACTATTACAAGCATGCACAAACTTGAACACTGTGTGAAAAATAGTAGTCTCTTTATCAACATACAGTCTACATGACAAATATATATTATTTAAATGCTGTATAAAAATAAACAAGTAAAAAAATGCCATCTTTCTTGTAACGTCCTTGATAGGTAAGCTTGGCAATCTAGATAACATCCATCACCCACACTCCACTTTGTAAGATTTCATTAAATTCATGTCGCAAATCAACAAAACTTTCGTATGTTGAGGGCACCTCCAACACATTTCCGCATGTATGACCAATTGGCCTTCTTTCAAAACCGGTCAGCTGAGTAAATATCACGTTGATGACATTCACTGAAAGGACATCGGACCCTGTACAAAACCGCAAAAATCTCTTCAGCATGTGCTCGTTAAGGGATCTCACATATCTCTTGAGATATGTTCCAACAGTTTGTTCATTTGCTGTACATTCTGGAGGAAACTGCAACATAGCAATAACCTTCTTGGGTGAAGGCTGCATTTCCTCATAGAGATTGAGAAATTCAGATTTGGTCAGGCTACCATGAAGTGATTTCAGCACTGGCTGCATGCAATCAGCTATGAATCTTGGCTTCTGAATGATCTCTTTGTGCCCCATTTCAGAAATGATGTGGGAAAGGTTGGTTTCTGATGGCAATTTCTTGCAGTCATATTCCCCCAATATTTCAACAAGTTCCTCATTGTCAGAGGGGAATTCCTGCAGTGCAGCTTCCAAGATGTTTCTCTCACTCTCAGGAATGTACTGCAGGAATGCTGATTTTGTGTCAGCATGACTAGATCCAAACAGTGCTGTTTCCATGAATACTGGGGACAGTGAAATGGGAAAATACCTAAGATCAACCCATCCCTTAACAAGTATTCTTGCAACAGCTTCCCACTCTCTCTCCCCAAAGTCATGCCTAATCACAGGTACTTTGTAAGTGTCCCCGGTGGTCATCTCTTCGTAAAATTCCTGCCAGAATTGAGTGACTGCATCCTTGTAAACCCCACTACCCAGGCCCGCCTCCATCTGCCCACTAGGAAGTATCATATGCACAGAAATGTTTGCATCCATAATACCAGGATTCGAAAATGAGTTGATCATGTCTCGCACAACTGCTCCCCTTCTGATCAGAAGAACCTCTGTTTGTGGCAAGGGGATAGTATCATCTAGCTGATTCTGAGTATCTGGGGTATGTGTTGGTCCAAATGTGATTGTAGGAGTGTCTGGGGGAGGACTGGGTGAGCGAGGAGCTTCATTGTCAAATTGAGAAGTTGGGCTTGAACATTCCTGTCCAATTTCAACTTCATTACCTACATTCTCAAAAGGCAAGGGCATGGCTTGCTCTTCGCCTGAGTCAGACGACTCAATGATAATTGCCTTTTTTTTGTTATGGTTGGAGTTTTCATTCGCACTTTCAAGGGGTTCGATCTTTTCTTTTGTCCTTAGGTAAAACCTCAAAATTGGCATTTTGGATTCTTCATACAGCTGGCCGACTGTGAATTCATCACACATTGATTTCTGCCGAAAGTCGCAAATATCAAATTCATAATTGGACTGGTCACCTTTAGATGACACTCCATCTTTAAAAAACAAACCTTGAGCAAGATCCAATAACTCAGCCCGCCCGGTCGTTTTCAGCACAGATAGCTGTCTTGTACCCCCACCTTTCTGTTTCCGAACTTGTTTGTAGGTTTGTGATGTACAGTCAAAGTCCAGCCAGCCAATGTCTATCTTTCTCTTGTCACTTGTGGCATTTCTGTTGCCTTTCAGCAGAGATGACTTGCAGCTGTGGCTAGAGCTAGCTCCTGATGAACTCTCTTCATTTTCATCACTGCCAGATTCTCCTTCATTTCTTCTAAGTCTCAACTTTTTCCGCAGTTTCTGCAACAGTGCTTGTTTCCTTGGGTGCTTATCAGTGGGCGCTTGTGGGGGTTTAGTACAGAAACTCCGCACTGCGATTCGGTCTCCTAGTAACGGGATGAAGTCTGCCAATGCAGTGTCTTCCATCATAACAACAACAGCTGCATCAATCTAAAACATAATGGTCACAAAAGTAAAATTAGTTGATATGTGTTCAAGAATTTCAATAGTGTCACTAAAACTTTGGAAAGATATGTCTGACAAACTGACCAGGGGCAGATCCAGGAATTTTCGCAGGGTGGTTTTTTTATCGGCAAAAAATTCTGAAATGTAGACACGTGTTTTTTTCTCCGGGCACTTGGCACTCCGTAAATAAAAAAAAAAGGGGGGGGGGGGGCTCGTAGCATACTTTCAATGGGGGCGCTGTTCATCACAGAATAATGTACATATACCCCCTAACCAAGCTGGCTCAGGACGTATTTCGTGCAAGGCAGACATTATTACTAGCAAAAGAATTTTAGGTGTCGGAGAGGGGGGGGGGGGGGTTTCGATTTTTTCCCCAGGAATTTCTATGGGGGAGAGCTGTTTTTTTTTAACACCCCCCCCCCCCCTGGATCTGGGCCTGCTGATAACACACTTGGCCAACAGATTATCAGGGATCACGGGGTCACATGATGTATTAATCAATAGTGAGAAATATTTCTACACCGTTGCACTAAACAATGAACTCACACATGACCTGATGAACTTATTCAACCAAAGTCAACAACTTTTCACTTTGTAGGTTCTGCAGGCAATGAAACAACCAAAACTGACTCAATTTTAGCAGTTACCCTTTGCAGACATCATGTAAATAAAACAGATAAAAAAAGCAAAACCAACTTTGAAAAATACAAACATTGTTTTTGAAATCATAATGAGAATTCTCACCTTTTCTGTCTTCATTCTTTCTATGATATCAGGTCCCACTCCTCGTGACTCCAAGAATTCATAAAGGTTGGGAGTTGCCATTTTGTTTCTTCTGTCAGATTAGAAAATTATAAAGCATAAACAATCATTACAAATTCAGTGACCATCTTTGATATGATAATTGTTAGATGTGGATATTTTGCCTGAGGTAATGACGGCAAACTAACGATTACTAAAGGTTTGCCCGCGGCAATCCATATCAACAGAGGGCGCTGTACTCTTTAAAATAGGGCTGAATTATAAGATGTATTAAAATTCCCACCAGTAGTCGTGTAGCACGTTTGGTGTAGTGGTTAAGCAAAGGCTCTAGTAAGCGGGAGGATAAATAAGAATATTCTTCTTTTATTATTTTAACATGTCTCAAACATTTTTTGCAGAGTATTACATTTTCTTTGTCAGATTTGTGGCTCTGGAGGATTTTTTTTAAAAGGGAAATAAAGTCCGAAATTATAAAATGGTCTGAATCCCATCTTGTGAATACGAGGTAACAACGATAATTTTGGCATGGAACCAGACTAAAACTTATAACCGGAAAAAGTTAGAGTACAAAAAAACATCAACTGCGCATGTTCAGTGCATATCCGGCAAACTAACGTTTACTAAAGGTTTGCCGTCTCCGGCAAAATATACACTGCCTAATTGTTATGCCCAGGGAATTAGTGGGCCGGGGTGTGCAGCAGTTCCTCTTTATGGCTTCATATATCGTCAGTCCACCTAAACCGACGAGGATATGTTTTGACGCACTTGCATCAGGGGCCTATTATAGCGCCAATTATGATGACTCGAGGATATAGGCCCTAACATTCTAATAAATGACGAAAAATTCCAGTTGTGTCTTCACATGTAATCGCCATCAAAAGAGCAAAAATGTGCAAACAGGGTGACGAAGGGTGGAAAGACAATCAGAAATTTACCTTAACAATACCTTCTTCAACGGTCACGTAGCGGTTTGTCTTGAAAAACGGGAGGGGGTTCAGCACGGTGCCGGTTAAAACTTAAAAGCAAACGTTGAATGCAAAGATAGCGCCACCTAGTGGCGCTATAATAGGCCCCTGATCACGTGCTCGATCACGTGTGAGAATAATCCGTTATAACGAATTAATAATCCGTAATAACGAATTAATAATCCGTAATAACGAATTAAATAATCCGTTATAACGAATTAGTAATCCGTAATAACGAATTAAATAATCCGTAATAACGAATTAAATAATCCGTTATAACGAATTAATAATCCGTAATAACGAATTAATAATCCGTAATAACGAATTAAATAATCCGTTATAACGAATTAGTAATCCGTTATAACGAATTAATAATCCGTAATAACGAATTAAATAATCCGTAATAACGAATTAATAATCCGTTATAACGAATTAATAATCCGTTATAACGAATTAATAATCCGTAATAACGAATTAATAATCCGTAATAACGAATTAAATAATCCGTTATAACGAATTAGTAATCCGTAATAACGAATTAGTAATCCGTAATAACGAATTAAATAATCCGCAACATATATACTTGCAGTGGCGCTAATGGGCTTTCGTAGAAAAGGTATTAAAGGAATGCAAGATATGTTTGGAGCTTAACCGCTGTGATGCACGTGGCGAACAGAGTCTTTGTTACAGTATGGTGGCCGTTCATTGCCGTTCCCCATTTTCAGTAAATATTTCAAAATTTACCGCTCTACATAGTTTTCTTTTCAAAATGTTTTAAAAAACTATTTAAGTTAATTTTAAAAAAATAAAATTATTATAAAAATAATTTCAAAATTAAAATTCTTATAAAAAATATTTCAAATTTAAAATGCTTATAAAAATAATTTCAAATTTAAATTTCTTATAAAAATATTTTCAAATTTAAATTGCTTTTAAAAATAATTTCAAATTTAAATTTCTTATTAAAATTTTTCAAATTTAAATTGCTTATAAAAATAATTTCAAGTTCATGTTTAAAATGAAAGTAGATTTTACACAAAATGAAAGCGATTTCAAAGTGAACTTCATATTCGTGACGGCCTATGGTTGCCACAGTATCCCACAGTGCTTTGCCGATGGGGGTGCATAGAGTTAAACAATTCTAGGTGGGGGTGATGGGCCGCGCGCTGTATCCAATATCGCGCAGTCTAGTACAGGGTAAGGACTAGTAGCAACTCTAGCTTTACAGTACCGTGAGATCGGTGTCATGGCGGAACCGAAGGACACGAACGCGGGGCCTAGTGCTGACGGTTTTTACGGTAATCCTTACTTTCAGGACCCCGTTCCTATATAAGAAGGGAAAGACTCACCAAAACAGTTGACTAAATGACACTCAAAATTGACATTCTGATATTTCTTGACACATCTGAACAATTGGCACCTTCTTGAATATCAGCAGGTTTAATTTTGTGGAAAGAGGGTAGGTCTTTGATTTGAGGGAAATTTGGGGGTAAAGGGCGACGATGACAACCAGAAAACAGACTCAAAAACCAAGATGGCAAACGTGAAAGCTCGATGTGATGAAAGCTCGATGCTGATTGGCTGATAAAAAATAAACATATTATTATTTTTTTTAGCAGCCTATCAGCATCGGGCTTTCATTATGTAAGGCTTTCACTTGTGTTGTGAGAACTACAATCATGACAATATGACGTCTGACTGCGAAAAAAGGTAGGAAAGTAACATTTTCTTTGAAAGTGCTTTCAAAATTACAACTAACACGAGTTTATATGAAGAAAAAAGTCTGCTTTAGCCTGCAAAAGTCACTTTGGTACTGGAAAGTCATCTGCAAAAGTCAGTTTTGAACAGAACTCGTAAAAAAATAGAGGTGTCCTAAAAGTAAGGATAACAGTTTTACTCTCGAAATCACGCTTGGAAGGAGGATAATGACCTGAAAGAAGAGATGGACAAGTATGTAAAGCAACTGCTTAAACGAAAGGAGATTCTCAGTTTCTAGCCCCATAAATGTGGCCAATTTACTGGACTACCTCCGTAATGGAATGTTTATCTGGACTACCTCCGTAATGGAATGTTTATCATATCTTTTTTTTTTGCGTTTTTTGTCAGCTATTTTGGCGGCCGTCTTGTATACACCTATTTTAATTCCCCCAAAGATGCCGAGGTGGCATAGTGTTGTTTTACTAGATCAGCAGGTCGCAAAGGCCAAGTACAGCATTAACAAATCATTATAATGAAGGCTGTCATCACGGTTGCCACCTGGGTTATCTCAGTGATGGCAAGTTGAAACCATGCATTCAGGAGTCAGGAGGTGCTAAAAGCATAGAAACTATAAAAAAAAAAGAGACTTTGACGGTAAAACTTGGTCAAGATCGGATCCGGCACCTGACAAAAATTACTTGCTCATACACCTCTCAGCGACCAGCTAAGAAGCCATTTTGGAAGCCATCTTAAAAGGAGGGCTTTGAGAGGGTTATTGGTAAATATTTGTTCACTGATTAATAAATCTACATCTTTGTACTCTACACTACTTATCATGTAACTGTAAGACTTATGTGTGAGCAGTGTTGTAGGTCTCGAGACCGGTCTCGGTCTTGGTCTCGAGACCACTTTTTGCCGGTCTCGGTCTCGGTCTCGGGAGCTGTGGTCTCAGTCTTGGTCTCGGTCTCGGTCCTTTGGTCTCGATATTTTGGTTGGTCTTGAGTCGAGACCAGCCAAAAAGCGAGGGGGGCGGATTCCGCCTTGCCCTTTTAGGGTTAAGTAAAGAATCAGTTTAGGGCAAATGTGACTGCAGTGTGATTCTAATAGACATGTCTCTCTTCACTTTCTAGTGAGTGAGGAATAATCCAATAACCATTGCTCCTCTTCTTATTTCTCGTTTTCATTGTGGGATGGTCTGTTGAAACAAGCACTTTATAGCCATCCTCATTGATTCCAAATACAACTGAGATTTAATTCTTCTGAATCAAGACTGAAACATTATTTTTACCGTCGGATTTTGTATTTTGAATATGGGGAAAAATTCAACTCTTTTTCCCTAGAAATGTTGGTGATTTTTTTTCTATTTTCCTTTTCAATTTTTCCTTTTGTCGTGGAGGCGGGAAAACGTTTTTTTTTTCATAATATTTATTAATGGATATTCATCAATTCGTAGACCGGTAACTAGGTATTAGTGGTGGACAGCTGAATTATGTGATCTCTTTATTAAAATAGACACGACTTGGGAATAGAGTATGCAAATTACGTGAAATGTTCACAGTTACTACTCAATAACATGTTCTTCATCCCAATTATATTTTTTACAAAATGGAGCGTGCCATTTTTTTTTTATCGTACGGTCACTTTCTTTTTGACTCGATATGTATTCATCTTTTCATCTGTGATGAACACAGATTGAGCTACTGCCATGGTCACACAAAAATAGAGTCTAATTGCCTGCCTCGTCTCCTTCCTAAATGTCAATTGCATTTGCATGAGTGGAGAAGAATTGTGTTCCATTAATCGCTATATGCTGTTTACGGCCATTACAATAAACTATTAATATATTGGCAATATGTCGTACTTGTTAATCACTGTAATATTCAAGTAAATTGCCCAGCAAAGTAGCCGATGCGGGCGATACGATGGCACGGTACAAAACACAGAGAGGCGTCCGCACTGAGCCATGAATCCTAAAAGTACATCTCGCCCACCACATTCAGTTTGTGACAGCGCCCTTCTATTGTGTCGGCCATATTCTAGCTAATGACGATGATGACGGCGGGCAGATTAACAGAAGATAGATCAGGCAAATATGGTTCATCAATCTTCTATAGTATATGTAACGTTGTGACAGCGCCCTTCTATTGTGTCTGCCATATTCTCAAATAGGCTAATGACGATGATGACGGCGGGCAGATTAACAGAAGATTGATCAGGCAAATATGGTTCATCAATCTTCTATAGTATATGTAACGTTATTGACATTAAACAAAAATAAAGTGGCATTACATTTCAGCCTTAGCCAGGCCTTCTTCAGAGGTAAATGACAGAGGAACAAGAAACAAACATGTAGGGGATCCACAAACATGCAGGGTTGGAAGGAGAATCAGAAAGAGGGATGGGGGGGGGGGGGAGGAGGCAGACCAATCCATATCTGGCTATCTGGCTATTTTTTTGGTCTACATATACAAATCTATATTCCATGACTGACATTTTAAAAAATAAATCAATATTTTCTTGCTCCAAATTTTTTTTCGAATCAGGTGTACAAGGAGGTCCAATGTAGCATTAACGTTGCATTTAAATATCCGTTAGTGGTCATTGCTGAAACCAAGGGGTGGCTGTGGAGTTTAGGGTCCGAGTTCCTATAACAGATGAAACATCCACCTTTAACTTTTTACTTTTGTCAAGTTTCAACATGTTCAAATTTTGCAAAAACTAGTACAAATTGTCGTACTCCTAAGTTAGAGTTAAAAGTGGCAAAAATATATGGAGATCATCAAATAAGGTTTTCCCCTTCTTTAAATTAGGTTGTTTCTAATGTTTTTAATTGATTGTGAAAATAACAAATTCTTGCCATGTTGTAATTTATGGCATGAAGCAAACCCGAAGAGCACTCACATGACACAATTAAGCAGGTACAAGTGATTCCTAACTTTCAATCACTTCCTTCACATCCCCATGAACATCAACATCTCAAGGACAGACTGTTCAGCTGTAATTAGAATCTTCTTGTTTATTTAGATTATTGTTATTTACTATCCGCAGTCTCGGTCTCGGTCTCGGTCTCGGACCATTTTGGTCTCGGTCTCGGTCCGCCTTGAAGGGGTTGGTTTCGGTCTCGGTCTCGGTCTCGGTCCGCCTTGAAGGGGCTGGTTTCGGTCTCGGTCTCGGTCTCGGTCCGCCTTGAAGGGGCTGGTTTCGGTCTCGGTCTCGGTCTCGCAACTTCAGGTCTCGGTCTTGGTCTCGGTCTCGGACTATCCGGTCTCGACTACAACACTGTGTGTGAGCATATTATGTATGTTATTATTCATTATGTTAAATACTGACAGCCATCTTGATGGCTATGTTGGATATCTACATTTTTCCACAGATGCCGAGGTGGCATCATTTATATTTTCGATTAGCAGGTCTCAAATGCCAAGAAACCAACCAAATATTGCTTGAACTAAGAAAATCTGGCCCCAAACACATAAAAAATAGTAAAAAATGAGTTATACCCTGTAACATTTATCATCCAAATACTACTATTTCTTTACATATTTCCTCTTTAACTTTTGTTTTGCAGTTTTACCCCCACAGACTTCATCAATTGGTGCTTGGGCAACACAGATCCCATCTTAACGCCATTCATACCACAGCTGTTCAAGAACATCACACAAACAGCAACAATGAGTACAAGAGCCACGACATCTACAAGCCCAAGAATTACATCACCATCTGGTGCTGCAACACCTACAACTAAATGTGCATCCACTAGTACAGCAAAAGCGCGTACAAAATCAGCATCGAGCGATAGAGCAATAGCAGTATCGAGTACCGGAGAAGCACTGGAACGTAAATCAACATCGAGTGCTAGAAGATCACTGAGACCCACACCGGCATCCAGTATCGGAGCAAATGAAACATCAACATCATATGAAACATCAACATCGAGTAGTAGAGCAAAACAGAGACCAATGTCAGCATCGAGTGCTATAGCAACTCAGAGACCAACATCAACATCGGGAACTACAACAACGCGGAGACCCACACCAGCATGCAGTACCGGTGCATCTCCCAAACAAAGAGTAACATCAACAACGACCACCAGAGCAGTACCGAGACCAACGTCAGCATCGAGTACTCGAGCAGCCTCAAAGCAAACTCCAACAACGAGTTTTCGAGCAACACAAAGACCAACTTCAGCATCGAGTACCAGAGCTGCAGCACCAAGACAAACAGCAACATCTAGTACTCGAGCAACACAGCAATCGAAATCTGCATCTGGTACTGGAGCAGCCTCAAAGCAAACTCCAACAACGAGTTCTAGAGCAACACAAAGACCAACTTCAGCATCGAGTACCAGAGCTGCAGCACCAAGACAAACAGCAACATCTAGTACTCGAGCAACACAGCAATCGAAATCTGCATCTGGTACTGGAGCAGCCTCAAAGCAAACTCCAACAATGAGTTCTAGAGCAACACAAAGACCAACTTCAGCATCGAGTACCAGAGCTGCAGCACCAAGACAAACAGCAACATCTAGTACTCAAGCAACACAGAAACCGAAATTTGCATCTGGTACTGGAGCAGCCTCAAAGCAAACTCCAACAACGAGTTCTAGAGCAACACAAAGACCAACTTCAGCATCGAGTACCAGAGCTGCAGCACCAAGACAAACAGCAGCATCTAGTATTCGAGCAACACAGAAACCCAAATCTGCATCTGGTACTGGAGCAGTCTCAAAGCAAACTTCAACAATGAGTTCTAGAGCAACACAAAGACCAACTTCTGCATCGAGTACCAGAGCTGCAGCACCAAGACAAACAGCAGCATCTAGTACTCGAGCAACACAGCAATCGAAATCTGCATCTGGTACTGGAGCAGCCTCAAAGCAAACTCCAACAAAGAGTTCTAGAGCAACACAAAGACCAACTTCAGCATCGAGTACCAGAGCTGCAGCACCAAGACAAACAGCAGCATCTAGTACTCGAGCAACACAGAAACCCAAATCTGCATCTGGTACTGGACCAGCCTCAAAGCAAACTCCAACAATGAGTTCTAGAGCAACACAAAGACCAACTTCAGCATCGAGTACCAGAGCTGCAGCACCAAGACAAACAGCAGCATCTAGTACTCGAGCAACACAGAAACCCAAATCTGCATCTGGTACTGGAGCAGTCTCAAAGCAAACTTCAACAATGAGTTCTAGAGCAACACAAAGACCAACTTCAGCATCGAGTACCAGAGCTGCAGCACTAAGACAAGCAGCAGCATCTAGTACTCGAGCAACACAGCAATCGAAATCTTCCCCTGGTACTGGAGCAGCCTGAAAGCAAACTCCAACAACTAGTTCTAGAGCAACACAAAGACCAACTTCAGCATCGAGTACCAGAGCTGCAGCACCAAGACAAAAAGCAGCATCTAGTACTCGAGCAACACAGCAATCGAAATCTGCATCTGGTACTGGAGCAGCCTCAAAGCAAACTCCAACAATGAGTTCTAGAGCATCACAAAGACCAACTTCATCATCGAGTACCAGAGCTGCAGTACCAAGACAGGCAGCGACATCGAGTACTACTGGGCGAGTCTAAAAAGAAAAATACCTCGATTAATGATTTTTTTCAAAAAAACAATCCAATTTAATATACCAATGCAATATGTCTTAAAAGAAAAGTTCGTCCACTTTATCTGAAAAACCCAAACAACCCACATTACTGAAATTGATCTATGGTATCAGAAGTTGTGCATGTTTTACTTAAAGAACCTTTTTTTTATAGCTTTGCATGAAATGCCAATGAAAGCTATTGATGAGCTAAGAAATAATTACAGTTTACACACAGGAATACAAATACAATGAGATTTTGACCATTTAAGTCAAGACTGAAACATTATTTTTACTGTCAGATTTTGTGTATTGAATATATTTGTAGTGATTTTTGTTCGCTTTCCTTTGCAAGTGTTCGTGCGTTTATGGAGGTGGGAAAATGTCTATGTTACATTGTATTTCATGAGTATTAGCCAGTACGTAGAAAGGTAAATTATCAGTGGTGGAATGCCTGATTTGTTTTCTTTTTAGTGAAATAACTTGGCAATAGAGTATGCAAATTACAGGAAATATTCACCGTTATTAGTAAATAAAGTGCACTTTGTCCCTATGTTATTCTTCATGAAATGGAACGAGTCACATAGAATTTGTTGTCTTCTAATTCAGTCACTTTCTTTTTGCCTCATCATGTAGACCAACACAAAGACTCACAGCAGCATCGAGTACAAAAACAGCTCCGAAACAAATGTCAACATCGACTACTGGAGCAGCAGGTGGACCAACATTTGCACGGACTACCAATGCAGCGCTAAAACAAACACCAACGTCAAGTACCGGAGCGACACAGAGACCGACACTAGCATCGAGTACAAGAGCAGAACTAAAACGAACGTCAGTGTCAACGACTGGAACAACACCCGAACCCACGTCAGCATCAATATCAGCACCAAGCGGATCTTCGGAAGCGTTGCCTGCAGTACCTAATGTAACATCGGCACATAGCCCGTCAGGAAGTGCAACGCCTGAACCGGTTGAGGCGGCAGCTTTAAAATGGGCACACAAAGCAGGTGTCGAGTTGTTATCCGTTGGAGCTAAGAAAGTGTCAGAGGTAGCCGCACAGTCTAACACGACACTCGGAAAATTGGCCGCCGATGTCGTCGCTGAAGCTATACCGCATGATAATGAAGGTGGAGCCCGTGGAATAGATCTTGCAAAAACTGCGAAAACTGCTGGTAGAGAGCTCTGCAAAGTTGCTGGTTATGCTTATATACCAGGAATCGGAGGATTAGCTGCTGGATTAACTTGGGATTGGTTATTCGGTGACGAGGTAACTGAGGTGTTCAAATAAAGCAGTCGATACCAGTGTTGTAGTCGAGTACTTTTATCCAAAACTACTGTGGATTACAAAGTTATGGAGTTATACCACTCAAATTCAAGTACTTTGACCTTTGCGAACGAGTACAGGTATCAGAATCCAGTCACTTACACCTTCGAGTATAAGCTTTGTGAGGCCGAGCCTGAGTATTTGCACATCCGAGTACAAGTACGAGTACTTGGACCTTCGTGTAAAAGTGCCAGTACTTGAACCTCTGTGTACGAACATAGAGCTAGGACCCAAGGAGTCAGAACTCTTGGGCGATTTCCATTTCGACCATTAACACTCCAATCCCTCGGGAACGTCTATAGCTAAAGCACTGTGACTGCAAATCTGGAACATACATGGCGTGACTGCAAGCGGCCTTTGAACACGATGATCGTCGCCGCCTCTTTAGTTGGTAACCAACAACCTCCCTATATTTCGCATGATAAGTCATGTCACGTCGTTGCTCATTTTGAAAAGTATACAGGGTGAGTAAAAAAAACCCGAAACCCAAATGTCAGAACCATTGTGTTTAAGTGAAGTTCTGCATGTAGCACTTTCAAAATCTAAGATGTGAAAGCCCAATTCATAAGCGTTCTTTAAGTACAAGAATCATTCAAATTACTCATGTACTTTTTACGTTAAGGAATTTTAAACACAACCACCGTTTTATAGTTCTGTCCACGGATCACAAAAAAGGTGCGTTCTTTCAGCACAACGAGAACCATTCTCATATATCCCTATGTGATTAGTTTTCGTTTTGCTGAAAGAACACTTACCTTTTTTGTGATCCGTGGACAGAACTTTAAAACGGTGGTTGTGTTTAAAATTTCGTAACTTGAAAAGTACGTAAGTGATTTGAATGATTCTTGTACTAAAGGAAAGCTTGTGAATTAGGCTTTCATATCTGAGATTTTTTAAAGTGCTACATGTAGAACTTCGCTCAAACAATAGTCCCGGCATTTGAATGTCGAATTTTTGTTACTCACCCTGCATAGGCCTTAGGTTCGTAACTCGAAAGTTAGCTCCGACGCATAATACTAGTACATTAGTCAAGGGCAAGCAATATGATGCGAAATATGCTTCAACAGGAATATAGTCAAGCTCATCATAAGTCCAGTTGCAGGAAACAACTGATAACCAATAACAAAAATGCCTTTGTGAAAGCTCATGTTCGGTTTAACTTGGGACTGGAGGACTTGTGATAGACTTGCAGAGACACGTGATAGCCTCAACTGTATTCCTGCGTTCCACTGGCCGATAGAGGTCGTATAGTTTTATATATGGTGGAATTATAATTATTATAAGATGGAATTTTGCGTCGGGGTGATATAAATCAAATTAGGTTTTGCCCTTCACCGACGTTTTTTAAACACTGTATACTCAGTGTGTTACCTCCCGAGTGATATTTGGAAAAAATCACTCGGGTGGGACTCGAACCCACGACCTCCTGCTTTCTAGTGCAGATGTCTTACCACTCGACCACCGAGCTAACGGGATCAGTTGGCTGGTTCGAATCTGATGTACATAGCAACGGGTACCGCATAAACTATTATCAGATGGAATTTTGCGTTGGGGTGATATAAACAATTACAATTATTATCTGCTGTTATAGATTTTTTTTACACTCCCTGTCATTACAGTCTGTGCGTACTCTATCGTTGTCATTCTTAGTGTATAAATGCATATTTTAGTGTCGTATAGTTTGTAGCTTTTTATGATTGTATAACGTTATGGTTTTTGCTGGACCCGGATAACCATTCTCGTGTCACTTTTGTACCTGATTGAATGACTCACAGTCTGACTGCCTGTCACTTTTAGCCGGGCAGTATACGACAGTAAAAGGGTGATCCCGGAACGCCAACGAATGGTTTAAATCCGTCCTGCTCAGTAGAGCAAATAAAAAAGATTTCCAGAGAGAAAAACACATGGATCTTATTCACGAGGAAGGCATTTTGGTCGTGTTCCCTGAATGTATGTATAAAATGTGAACTGTTGAATGGGATGGCACCAGACAATTTATGTATTATAGCCTCACTTTCAAGCTTTAGTTAAATGTGGCTTAAAACATTAGGTATGTTTAATCACAAGTTACAAATTATTCATCGGAGCAGACTGCTATAAATATGTAATTAAGCTTATGTCATTTCTTTCATTTCTTTTTGCAATACAATTCCAAACATGAAGATTTTACCTTGCTTTCATCTTAATATGGCCGACTCGTGAATAATGTCCATTCGGAATCAGGTGGATAGAATCTGTGTGTGCTCTGGGACCAGCTTTACTAATTGCTTTGTCTTGTTTATCATTTATTAATGCACTGCGATCAGATTTTAGTGAAAAAACACCCAAAAATTGGGTGGTGGAACTATTATTGAAGGTAAACAGAAAGTCTACTTCACTTCATTCAATTATGTAATCGTTAGGTATTTTTCTGACAACATATGCCAGCTTTGGTATGTATTTGTGTAATGGATCTTTTCTAAAGACGCAGATTATCGGCACATTTCAACCTCTGTTTTGTCGTGGATAAAATGTTTTTGTGTATCCGCATTGCAATTTGAATCTGCATTTTAGACGTCGAAATTGGACACAATCCCTCTGTACGACCTCTGAGTCTCGGTTTTGGCGACATAGGTGCCAGTTTTTGTTTAAATGCTGCATTGTAGTCTCATTCGTTGCCTGTTGTAATTATTTAGAATATCATACATGTAGCAGTAGTACAAGGTTTGAAACTTAGACCGTAGACCCGTAATATCTTCAATATAGGTTTTCCCGGCTATTTTAATTCATTTTTTGTTCAAATTCACCAACTCTGACATTCAGTTTTGTCCGAGAACAAAAATCACATGCTTTACCAAAATCAATTTAGTCACTTACCATTCAATGTCAAAGTCAAGTCACCCTCTTTAGTCATCGTGTCGAGAATTTTCGTTATTACAGATCAATCAATTTAAAACTTGTTTGAAGTATATTAGGCTATTCAGGTGTGTTCTAGAGAATTTCCTTGTGTCGCGAGGCAAAATTTGGCACATTCGCTGGCATGATTTTTCGGACCAAAGCAGAGTACTGATATCAAATAAGAGTTGCCAAAAGTAATATTTACCTAGATCAACAATACAACATTGTTTAAAATAAACAAAAGGAAAGAAAAAGTCTTGCAATGCAAAAAAGAAAAAGGTAAAATGCCACGAATCGATAATCTAAAATCCCTGTGTAATATGCCTAAAAATATTGAGTCAACATATTTTAAGAAGATAAATTAAAAGAAATAACACATTTATGAAGAAATTAGGCAATAAAAAGTAAAGACTTATTCTTATTAGAGGTATGTATATGCCTTTAAAGACATCGCTATGAAGCTTGACGGCATTGAACAAAATTGTGTTTAAGTTGTGTGGCATTAGACGAATTTGATTTCTCAATAACACGATTCGGCGTAGACGAGACAAAATAGAATACACCGGGTCGAAAACGTGTGCCCATGGTTTGAATTTGTTTGGACTAAATTTGACACAGTCTGACAAAAGACGTAATTAAACATGGGACGTGCACTAAATCGATATTGCCGGATGAATTTGAACATACGAATCGGTGTATTCGAACGAAAAATGTTTTAATTTGGCTGGGCAAACCTACATTAATTTGCATGTGTTAAACATATGATAATTTTCATGATCGGTTTCTTTCATTTTCTAGTCATATGGCTATCCACAGCCACCTTATTTTGAATGGTTGTAGGTGTATATATCTATCTCTTCGTAACCAGCTCCATTATACAGCGCACTCATTTATTTCATTTCATCGTCTGAAATAAGCTGTTCTGTTTAAATAATTGAAAAGTCTTAAAAATCACCCCTTGACAGTGATTGACGAAATGAGTTACAAGTTCGGGCATGGCAACTGTCAAACCAATTTTGTTTTGTTCTGGGAGTCTATGACATCTTCGACATTCTTACAAATGAACTTCTATAAAAGCATCCGCCCCAGATGTGAATGCTCACAACAAATTTCCGGTTTCTGATGTCGCGTCTGTCGCGGGTCACAACTATGCATTTGATTTGACCTGGCTGTTCAGGTGGCAAATGCACACAGCCGTTCTTCGCTGTAAACAACGCCCGAAACAGCGGTGGGCTAGAATGGTACTCCGGAGGTTGATATTACCGCTGTGTAGAAATTATTGTCACCCTTAAACTACGAGTGTCACTTTTATACGTAAGTGATAAACTGCATTTGTTTTATCGAGTACCGCTATCCGAGTAAGAGTACTTTGTTTATCGAGTACTGTTTTTCGAGCACGAGTACTTTGATGATCGAGTACAATTTTGACATGTGCGAGTACGAGTACTTTGCTGCTCGAGTACGAGTACCGTCATATCGAGTACGAGTACTTTGACATTCGAGTACGAGTACGAGTACTCCAAAAAAGTACTCGAGTAGTACTTGAGTACGAGTACCGAGTACGAGTACTACAACACTGGAGTGACGATAACTTTCAAAACTTGTCAAATTCTTAAAATGGTAGCTCGGGATTTTCCGAGATTTGTTCAAGTGCGCCATGGGCTCCATTTCAGAACGCTACCGTTTTTGAATTTCAACTTGCACTGTCCTTGTGATTGTGTGCATGAAAATATTATCCGCCTAAACTTGAGTGTCACATTTATTGTGTAATTAATTTTATTTCAGGTTCTTTTAAAGATGCTCAGTGCGTTCACATTTTCTTAATTATCGGAATGTTCATTGAACCGCAGTTTGGCCTTTGACGGTACCACCCTATTGTAGGAGTTTTGACAGTTATAAATTAATGAACAAATTAATAGGTGATATAGTAAGGAATTCCAGGAAGACTATTTTTGGCTTAGACTGTGCTCCAAATTCCACCCTAGTCTATGTACATATAAACAGATTAGCTGATTAATGAGGCAAGACAACCGCATCTTGACCTTTAGATTTGACCAATCAGCGGGCGCTTTCTTTGCCGGGTCTTCGGTCCTTCTTTTTTGTCGGTCGAGTCTAGACAGGGATACCAAATAACCCCACGCTATAGACACAGCAACAAAGGCTTTGGTCACACTATTTATTTACGCGTCACGTACGCGCCCGGCTGTAATTGTATTACAAAAAAATCATTCGAATTGACCAATCAAACAATTAGTCCTGATTTGGGAATGAAATGACGTCACGATTTAAAAGTGACTACGATTGGCTGCCACACGCGGCTTGCATATATCTGCAAGTTTAGACATCTCAGACGTCATACAGGAAATTTAGTTCCGTGGATAACGGGTGATACTCAGACTAATTCCACCCTGGACCAACTACGATTTGTTCTGTTCAGAGTGCCGCAAAGTTGCTGTAAGTTACCTTGCCGAGCAGGTGTTTACACAGCTAGCTAGGACGGAGATCATTTATTTCATCATGAAGTCGTTGTTGCTTCTGATATTTTCTGTCGTGCTTTCATGTAAGTAGCGTTTGAATAATTTTTGCATCAGTGTCTCTTCATGAGATTCACAAACAAACCAGTAGGTGACATTACTATACATAGACAGGAGTGAGCCCCTTTAACTCTAAAAGGGCTTTCGGCGAAATCCGCCCCCAAACTTTTTCCGCGATAGCTTTGAAAAAAAAGGAAACTTTTCGCGAACCAAGCTGTTATGACTTTTTAGCCTCGAGCCTTGCCAAAAACATATGCGCCGTGAAAAGTGAATTTTCCCATATATTACGTCGTGTACACAAAGCAGAATTACCATTCGAACATATGAATAATCAATTACCTATAATTCCAAAACCCTTTAACCTATAGTCATGCAATTACTTGGGTTTGTTTATGATGAGTTGCTCATATTTTAAATTGGGAGCGCTGATAAAGTCCTACATTCAGGCACACTATATATTAACTAAAAGTGTGCAAATGCACCCTTCTCACGACTATTTATTTAGGGAAAGCCGTTCGCATGGACGTCACATTCTTACATTTGGCTAGTGTTTTTTTTATGGATTTTTTTTTTGGGGGGGGGCAAGAACCGCCACTGACCTTGGGACATACAAAAATGCTGCTCTTAAGTTGCACAGCCGGTACTTTGCTTCCAGCTGAACGGGGGGGGGGGGGGGGGGGGGGTACGGGGTATATTGCTTTGTGGACACCCCCCCCCCCAAATCATGTGAACTTGACAGAAATGAGGCTTATTCAAAAGATACACACTTTCCTTGTAATTAAAACACTGCCTGAGACCAAAAACTTTAATTTGAGTGGTAGATAAGATTTCTGGGCTCACTATGGCCATTTTGCGTACCCTACCCCCAAATCACACTAATCGGCTGTATAGTGGGTGCTTGGGTGGCATAGCAAACCGTTTATGCAGTTTTTGACAACAGCGCCAAATGCATAATGCGGCACAGCGATAGACCAATATTGGAGAATCGCAGATCTGGCCCATGACCGAGCTGAATATTGCTGAGTCAGCACTATTTTGTTATGATTTTCTTGCGCAGTGTCGAGGCCAAAATATTTTGTGCCCTTTTTTTTAAATGCTCGGATGCAAAATAGGCAAAAACGAAGAATTTTCTATCAATGCCAGATTGAAATAAAGATAATAATCCTGACATAAAATTGTGCGATTAAATGGCCTTATCCCAGGGATCGAGACTCTCCATATCACAGGCATTTTCAGTGTTTTGCTGCCTATCGTTATATAGTCACATATAGGCCATCAGCTTGGGGGTTTGGTCAGTATCAAATCAGGGCATAAATGATTATAGTGCACATGCGTAAGGTATACTGCCCCTAGAGTGGTAACAGGCATTTTGATGAACATTTAAAAAAAAGGGTGATAACATCTAAAAAGCTGCCACTGCTGCAATGCTATCACATATTTTCTAACTCTGGAGGTGTGTACCTCGTCAAAAATCGCTATGACGATTATTCCCCTCATTTGATACCGGTGGCCAAGATTTTCGACCGAGGCTGATGGCCAAATAATACGATTTCAATTAAAACCATGAAACGAATGCAAATGGAATCAATATGACTCCATGGTAATGGAAACAAGCTTAATATTGCCGTATTTGTTTGATTGAGTGTGTTCCCCGAAGTTTTTTCAATCATTGCTATTTTTGGCGGTGTGTATTGTTATACCTTTGAATAACCCGGTGTAGGTCCATGAGTAGAAGTCACTTCGGTTTTAAAGTCCTTGTAGTTTAACTTAATTTACCGGTACTTCTTTCTCTCTGATTTAGATATTGTAGGAAGAGCCAATGTATTCCGTTCCAACGTTAGTTTGAAAGCCTAATCAATTGAATTCTCCCACTCCACATTTCATCCTCAATACTCTAATTGTTTACTTTAAAATATTGGTACCAACAATAATAATGACTAGAAAGCCAATTTCATAAGCTACTTTTCGATGAAAAAAATACTGAAAGTGTTCGATATTAAAGGTCTCAGTATTTTTTTCATCTGAAAGTAGCTTATGAAATTTGCTTTCCAGTCATTATTATTTTTGACGCCACATATTTGTTGAAATATGAACCTTAGTTTTTGGAGTTTGGGGTCCGCTTTTGTTTGACTCACCCTGTATTCCAATTTTGCAGCGGGGGCTGATGTAACCGTCCATCCACCCCTGGGAGGTAAATGGACTGTCAATGATGAAGAAGGAAACCCGTGTATGAAGATGTCCCTCTCTGCGGCGTTAGAAGTCCTTCACGGAGATAAGCCTGTAAGCAAATACCTTTTTCTTCCAACACCTTTCATATCATCGATTTTTTTTCTGACAGATAACTGACGAAACTTTACCTACTCTCTTTACTCACTGATGAAATTTAAACTGTAAGGATTAAAGCCTGTTTTAATGCCTATACCCTTGCGTAGGCCTATAGTATAGTAGCCAATCTCGTCCCCATGACGTTTGAGCCGTAGCGCCTACGCTATCATTTAAAACATGAAGAGTTACATTTTTGCAAATTAAGTGGGAACATAAAAAAGGGTCTATTTCTGCTAAATGTATTGTCTATGTAATAGACCATGGCTTTTTATGCAAGAAAACCGTATCTTTATCTCTACATTTTGACCAATCAGAGGGCGCTTTCTTTATCTGGTCTTTGGTCATTCACCTGTTGTGGCCTCATAGACATGGATAAGAATAAATCTAGACACAGGGAAAAAAGGCTGTGGTCACGCGCTCCGTATTATGTTACGCGATACGCGCCCGGCTGTTGTAGTATTACAAAACACATCATTCGAATAGACCAATCAAAGTTTTTTCTCTGAATTGGGAATGAAATGACGTCACGATTGAGTAAAGTCGACTCCGACTGGCTGAGGCGTGAGCTCGCATAAATCTGCATGCTTTGATATATCAGACGTTAGGCAGAAGACTGGGCTCCATGGATAACGGGTGATATTCAAACTACTAACTACGGTGCTCTCAGAACAATTTAATAGTTTCTTCAGTTTTGCTAAAAACCTTCTGAGAATTTGAGGCATGCTGCGGCTTTTTATTCCGAAATGAAAATTAATGTAGCTAAGTGCACGCGTACATCGTTGAAATACCAAACTGACATTTTTTCCAATCTGAAGTATTGAGCTTACGGGCTGTTTTTATGCACTGTATTATTTCCAGACACAATACAATGTTGACCAGTCGTTTGCTGCAACTGGCATATGCGCGAAGCCATTTCGCCAGTTCACGCTGACGTCTCCAGATCCTACAAGAACCACCTTAAAGGAGCTACAGCTGACTTTTCTCTTCGATTACACTCGTGCCATTTATACGTTGTCCCAAATCATGGCAGTCTGGTTCGACACAATTCATAGAGGTGAAACACGACTTCATAGATTTTGTTTTCTTATATCTGAAATTAACAACGTAATTTACTGTAGTTTATTCTTTAGACATGTGATGTCTTATAAACCACATCCCAAATTAGTCATGTCCATTATGTAATTACGTTTGAATTTTTTTGGGATTAGCAAAGATACACATTTTTTTTGGAAACTGTATACCTGGTAAGAAAACCAACAATTCCATTTTCACAAAGCTTGAATGGCGGCCATCTTTGATTTTCAAAACGGCCGCCAAAAATAGTATCAACTTCTTTGGACATATTGTGGCCATGCTGCTCTACCATAAGGTATAATGTATTTCCAGGCCAAACGCTATACTGGATGCCTAGCTTGCCACTGAAAATGCAGAATTAGTAACATAAATCAAATTCTAGGTCGTCTAGAAGCCAATTAAAGATATAGAGAAATACCTGTTTTATGGCGGCCATTTTGACAAATCCAAGATAGCCGCCACACATGCATCTTGGGAAATGAAAACATTAGTTTTGTGGTTGAATATAAAATGCAGTTTCCAAAAATGTGTACGAAATAAAAAATAATTGCACTTGTTGGACCTGACTAAATCCTACTTTTTGATGGACTAACGGTTGACAATTGAAACACAGTAGACGAACATTAAGAAACAAAATACCCTTCTCCGAATGACCTTGGTTATCAAGTGGAGGCAACAATGGCATTCATTATGAGAGTAGGGGTAAAAAGTGGGTAAAAGAGTAACGACGATTGAGGGCTTATTTATTTTTATTTAGAGGATTGGGAGAAAGATTTAAAACAGGGCGATAACCTCCTGAACAATGCAGTCGAGCAAAGCAAGTCCTATCAATGCAACCTTGAATTGCGATTTGACCTGGAGGGAGGGTATGGCAGGGTGTTCCTGTGGAATATTGAACTGGTACCCTTCGTAGAAGACTTCCACTCGCAAGGTAAGAAAACACCAGTGTCTTCACCATAGGGGGCGAGTGGGGGGTCACTGGATGTTACAGTGTTACATTAATTTGTAAGAAACGTGCTAAAAAGGTAGACACTTTTTTCATCAGTCACCTGGCCTCCGTAAATTAAGGGGGGGGGGGGCGGACACCATCTTTCGATGCCCCTCCAATCGGAAAATATCGGACAACAGGTGGCGCTCTTCATGACGTCACGACAAGCCTGTGAGTCCGCCATTTTGTCTTTGAGTTTCCGGACCCCTCCGCGCCCTTTTTATAGGAATTTTGTACGGGATTGCGCTTTTTCTTGCTATAATGTTTGTCAAAATAATTTCTGACCATCATCACCCCGAGAAACTTTCGTGCTGGAATTTGTATCTTGGAATTCCACAAGAAAAAAAACATGATGGAAAATCAGTTGGAAATTGGTAAAAACGAGTTTTACTTACAAGCTTCACATGCGGATGTTTGTATACACCTCGATCTCTTTGTTGGATCACTTTGTATTCACATCGCTTGTGAGAACGAAAATGATAACGACGCGGAGATTTGCCTACCTAAATCCGATGAATTTTATATCGTTTGAAACATGTTGTAATACAGCTCTTATTTATGGTCAATTTTTTTGTGAATGATAATTAGCCCTTCAAATTTATTGAACAATTGTGTGTCCTCAAAAACATTTGAGTTTTCTATATCTATTTTAGATTTCACCCATGGCTGCCATTTCATCTTTGTACGAGTGCTCCGAGTTCCACTAGTCTTCGTGTATTTTACATTTTCGGAAGTCAGAGGACAACTTTTGGCAACATAACTCTCTTTCACATCATGCGATTTTCTCAGTTTCAATATTTAGGTGCTACCAATCATTTTACAAACGCCTTTTCCTAGGGTGATTTTTTTAAGAAAAGGGGTTATTCGAGGTGTTGGGAAACGCACCATCAGGGGCCAACTTTAATACAGACTCTATTAACGCATGTTCACGCACTGTCAAAGAGGGGCACTCTTACAAAAAAAAATAACAACGCTCGGGGAAAAAAGGACACATTTTCAGTGGGGCGGGAGAACGAATGTTTGTGGGCGTAATAGCTCATGGGTGTGCATAATGTACAAAACAACGATGAAGATTGTTTTACCTTCTGTTTTATTGTGTTGCATTAACAGCTCAGGAGTGTAGTGGTGTGACCAAAACAGTTAAGCAGTGTGGATGTTCAGCGGGTGAATTTGCCTGGCATGTCTGTGTCGGATTTTTCCCTGGCATCTTTCTAGCAGGAGCTGTAGCAGCTGTTTTTGTGCACCGCAAAAAGATAAAAGAGAAGATATGCAATTGCTGTTGCAGAAAAGGCGAGGAAAGAGAACCTCTCGATCCCAATGGGTCAGAAGGTCTTTTTGAAAATTCTTTAAATATTGGCTATACAATAATAAGTCATTAGTTGCGTTGTTAAAAAGAAAATGCATAACTGACCCAAGATTGTTTTAAAATTGCTTAGAGCTCAACAGATGCCTAACAAAATCCAGAAAACTAATTTGAGTTGTGAATTATGTAATTTCAGAAGGGTTCCTGAGCGTCCCCCAAAGAGACTCGTGAAATAGTTATTGTAAACAACTTAATCACCATCTGAGGGTTAAAGATCCGATATCCTTTCAGCATCCGATAATATAGGCCTACTTCGGAATCTCCATTTTGATATGTTTGAGGAATTAATTATAATGATCTAATGACAGATCTGAGGGTTCACAACACCATATTTCGAGATATAATTCAGTGGAGTTAAAAACCGACAGTTTGGTAAAGGGTAACACTACGTAGAGTTGGTGGTGAGGATCACATACACGTTTCATAATGAAGCGTTCAATATGAAGATCTATGTACAAACCTCCATTTTATAGAAATAGCTGAGTGTGAAAACAAATTAGAAAACAAAAATTAAGATTGTTTATTTCTACTTTGTAGTGTTCAACAAGCAGTAGCAAACCAGGGGTGATGAAGTGAAGCAACAGTCGTCCGTGCATCAGTCATCGGTGAGTACCTGTTTGTCACTTTGGTCGTAGGTGCCAACGCAAGAGGCGTGACGCACAAGCAACAGCCAAACCGATGCTCTTCACGGCAACTATGTTGTATACAATAATTGCATTCATCAAGTCATGAGCTAATTAGTTCCTTATTTCAAAACCTGAAATTGACCAAAGGTTGTTTACAAATTGCTAAGAACTCAGCCGATGCATACAAACGAAAATCAGAAAAAGTTATTAACAATGTTAGTTAATTATTTAATTACGGATGGATTGCAAAGTGACCCCCATCAAGAGACTCATGAAATAGTGTAAACAACTTCAACATTATATGTTTTTTTAGCATCTTATAATAAACTGGAATTTGATTTTGAAATTTGTTGAGGAAGCTATTATGATACAAAGGCAAAATGAACATTTTGACGGCAAATCGTGTGAACTACTGGTTAATGTATAGAGCAAAATTAGAAATATTTTGTTTTTAATCTCGATATAAAGCTTCATCATTCTTCATAAAACTGCGCCTGTCGGGTGATTGGCTTTTTGTTTATTATGCTTGTTATGTTAAAGAAATACTCAGATTTTGTAATAATTATTATTTTGAAGTGTCTCAGTTGAAGTCATAAAGTAACGTCTTTAATCTTATGTATGAAGTTTCATGATGTGAAGTTGCATTCGAACTAATGACATGATAAACGAATTAGCAGAATCTTGTAGCATTAGCATATAAATGTGGATAGTGGCGCGGATTTATTGTGTATCAAATATAGGTATTGACAAAAAAATCACCTTTGAATATTCATTTAGTAACTTGTGGTCCGTATATTCTGTGTTAATTGCGATCAGGAACTTTATATTTTCCTTTATACTTTATATGCTTACAAGCACGTGCACAATGTTAAATCCCCTGAGAAGAAGCTACAAAAGGAAAACAGAACTATCTCTCAAATTACGTGAACTTATTGACACAAAACATCAAGGCCTATATAACTGGATCATTTGATAAATGTAGCCTGCGATATCATGTACAATTTGTAAGGCATTCTGGCGAAATGAGACAGAACAGGGCACGGGCCGATTGAGAAAAAAAGGGGGAAAATGCAGGTGATTTGTTTTTCGTGATTTTCAGATTTATTGATAGTTTGTGATCCTTTATAAGTATAAAATATAAATATTACACATGTTTTGAAGCAAGAATATGAACAGTGCATAATAAAAAAAAAAAGCTTTTAAGGAAAAACATTTGGTATCTTTCATTTTTGTGACAAGAAAACAGTCGAAACTTTGCAGGCTTTTTTTCTTAGTATTTTACTTTTTTTGACACGTCAATCAATTCAAACTTTACCCGGCCATATCCTGTCAAAAGAATGTCAGATTGAAGTCAGCGGCGTAGCCAGGGTTCTCATCCTAGGGGTGTGTGTGGGTGTGTGGGTGGGGTGGGAGGGGGGGGGGGGCTTGAGCTTACAATGTTCTTTATGTTCTTCCAGCTAATCATGGTAACTCATATGGCTGTGTTTTTCTCCGGATGTCAAATTTTTCAGTGAGGGGGGGGGGCGAACTTTTTATGAGAAGGCCCAACACCCCCCCCCCCCCCATCCATAGCTACGCCGCTGATTGAGGTAAAACAGATCGTGCTGTTTATAAATAAAGAGCATATTATTATCTTCCCTAATACCCGCAAATCAGCATTTCGACCTCTACCCGGTTTTATCCCATTTTGCCAGAACGCAACCAATTTCATTAATTGTCTTGGCCCAGACTGGGGTTCAGACTTTATTCTCCTACTCACTGATGTCCCTGAGAAGTGATTTCAAGAGAAAGGAAAAGAATGCTGTGAACAAGATCAATCAAATCAGCTTCAGAACTGTAGCCTATAAAATTCCAAACCCAATCCACGCATTTGAAGGGTGGCAGTATTAGGGTGAGGTGGAGGGAGGGAGAGTAGTCTTGCCCTGCCAATCCGGCGTAATGCATCATTCGTTAATTTGAACCTAAGAATCATCCTCAAATTTGGATATCATTGTGTGCAAACCTTAGGTCGAGCGTATAATTAATTAATTATCGATATTATTTCCACACATTTGTATTTACAATTCGACCGCCAACAAGACAGTTACGCTGAATGTTTTTCTTAAAGAGGAAGACAAAAATAAAGTTCTTACTTGTTTTAATTTGTCACGACAAAATTGACATATTGTATCTCAGAACCACACTGTTTATTTCTAGTTTCGCATCACTTGATCAGAAGGATAAGTGCTTCGGAAACTCCCGACTTTAGATTCACTTTCGTAACGGTCATTTTACCCTTTGGAAGTAATGAGAGTACTGAAAATGACTGCTTGGTTAACTTATCAGAGGTTTACTGTGCCGATCTGCCCCCCCCCCCCCCCCTATTTGGTAGCCTCTTTCACAAATGCAAGTTTCGGTCCGTGTTTCTTATTACGGCAGTCACAATATCAGTCGCCGTGGACATAATGAAAAAGTGGTACTTGTTTTCATTTGGCCATAACTCAATAAATGTTGACCAGATTGAAAAGAACTTTTCGTTGTTGAAAAGCTAATAGACTTTACTCTCTGAATATGTATAGACATTTGTTAAGTATTACAAAAAAAAACCGTGACAAAAGAGGATGCTTTGACGTTTACTTTTTGTGTATGGGTGTGTGTGTGTGTAAGATCCTGTATTTGTTCTTGGTGAACTTGTATATATAATTGTTTGGCACATTTTGTGTTGAGTCATAGCATGAGGTCAAGATATTCTCGTTTGTGTTTGCAAAAGCACTTCAGTCGCCAGTAGTACTAAGTAATTTAGGGCAATTCCTTTGTGATTCGATAATAAAGTATCTCAGTAAAGGGTAAATCCGGGCAATTATTTTGGCTTACACTTTGCCCTGATTCAACCGCCGTAGACCTGTAGCCTAACATGTTTACTGAAGAAAAGATACCATTGAATTGTTGTTTTCCTTTCTTGCTTGACATAACAACTTTGTACCCTGTTTGTGGTCCCAGACTCTTACAAGTTTCTTTACACTGCGAGATTGGTTCAAAGATAAGTCAAAATACCCGAAACAGTTTACCCAGACTTATTAGTCGAGAGCCCGTCGTGTGAATGGTTTTAAACAGCTGAGTAAACACTGACTGATTTTAAACACTTTACGTAATGGGGGGGGGGGGGGTGTTGCTCAGGGGGCTTGAGCTCCCCCCTCCATGTTATTATTATTATTATTTTTTTTTTTTGGGGGGGGGGTATTTCGTTTTAAGGTCTCGCGATTTGACCGTGGACATGAATTGTATGTTGCCTATTTTCAAATTCGGGGTAAATGGCGCCACCAACGTCCAAAAAGTAGCCCCCCCCCCAAAAAAAAAAGCCCCCCCCCCCACAAATCTTGGATGTGCCACTGCAAACGTGGCCCCTGAACGATGACAACAAATTGCGTCTTTCTAAAAATAGACTATGATGATACTCCACACTGCAAAGCCTAAAATCTAATATTCCATAACAGGTTTCTATATTCTCTATACGTACCCTTATCCCTGCACAACAACACATTCGTTTGTTTCATTTGTGAGTCTACAGTCAATGGTTCCATTTTAATAGTTTTAAAGGAAGAAAAAAAACCTCTCACCTTGTTTCCTTGATAATTGTATAGCTGTTTGGCCTATGTACTTTGCTTGAAACAAAACATAATTCTACACTTTCAAAAAAAAAAAAGTCCAGACAGCCATGTGGTTGCGAAGGGCCATTTCTTAAGGTTACGTAACATTTTATTTTGAATGAAACTATATGTACACATACATGTTTACGTTGGCGAGCGAAATCTGCGACTTTCAGGGTTTATTTCGCTTAAATGATCCAAGTATGTGCTAAAAATCGATGCAATGTGTTCTTTACCTTTCGTTCAAATTGGAAAAACAGGCCTGGCTACGTGCATATTTGAAAGTTGTAAGACGTTAGCAATGTCTGTCAATCTTTCCAAGCCTCACAAATATTAATAAGGTTCCTATCCATAATGGTGTGCAGTAAAACATTTGCATAAAAGCCTCATTCACGAGTTATTAATTGATAAATATCATCCTTTTGCCGGCTTCCATTGGTCGATACCGAGAACCACGCCAAGTCACGCCGAGTAACGGTAATGAATATGCTAATATACCCGTCGTCTCGTGTTGCCGGGCCAAAATCGGTCAACCGTAGCGCATACGGCGCTTAGCTGAACAATGCAAGTGGTTGGGTCAGCAAAAAATCCTTGTCGAAATTTTTCTTAGAGATGGTTCAAGGTGAAACGTAAGCGTTAGCAACAACAAATTAAGCTGAAATTCGGAGTAAACTTAGATGGTATTAGTGTCTATCTACTCGTGTAATAACAACTTGAGTAGCTTCCTAGAAATCGATATAAATATACAGATTTGGGGAAGTTTTTGGACGATTTCTTCAAGATTTGAAGGCAGCTTTACCAGTAACCAGTATTCACGTTTCGGCATCAATGACGGCGATTTTTCACTGACATGAAGTTTAGAATTTCTTCTTCCGTTTTATTTAACATTTTAATTATACGGAGCATATTTTCTGAGAAACACATCGTTTAAAATGCCATGTTTTAAGGGGTGCATGAATTTCACTGCTCTGTTATAGCGTCTAAGTACGTAATCGGATTAGCTTTTGCCTAAAAACGGCAGACACTTTGCGTTAGCAACCATATGGCTGCAGAAGGCCTGACACGGACTCCCCATATGTGCTGTAATGGGGGTAAGTGTTGGCTATTGTTTAGATTAATCTTTCAAGGGGCAATTGCTCTGAAGAACAGCTAGCACATTACTGGCATATTAGTGTCCGTCTGACTATTTTTCAAAATAACTTCAAAGCCATGAGGTCAATTTTGAAAATGTTGGTTGTGCAGATACTCCCTAGCCGTGGTTTGAGATCGGAATTATTTGCTTTTGAGCATTAAACTGGTGTC